TATGTATATTCTATTTAATACATTATATTTATTTTTTATATTTATTTCAGTGATATAGCAATAAAGCTAGTGTTAAACCACATATGCCTCGAATTTATACATTGTCAGATATAGGTGAAGGCAGAAAATTAGGTGACATACCATCTAGTCGATATCTGCCTAGTCGAACGGAACTTGAAAATCAGCTTGCTTGTGCAAATCGAGATCGAGAAATTGCTATAGAGTGTGGCAATCGACTTTTTAATAAATGCTCTGTCTTGGATAAAGACAATAAGTGTATACAACGTGATCTAAAACAATCCAATAAAGATAAAGAGAAACTCTCCAAGCATGCTTTCTAGCTTAAAGATAAGGTTAAACGATTGCGCTCAGAGTTAGATAATCTAACATCCCAGATTACTCGCAAAGATATTTCTCTTAAAGAATCTAAGATTAAGATAAAAGATCTCCTGTCTAAGATAAAAATATTGGAAACAAAACTATCTTCAACTCAGAATAAATCAAAGGAAATTACAGCACTTCGGTCTATGAAAAAAATACTAGAAAGTAAGTTAGAATCAGCTCAAAAGGATGCATTCTCAACTCAGGAAGAGATAGTAAAAAAAGAATCTGAGATCATATCTCTCAAGTCTGAATTAATCAATATAAAGAATGAACTAATGAATACAAAGGATGAATTAGCTTTAAAAATTAATGAAATTGAGTGTTTAGGCACTTTACATTCTGCTTCGCAGAAAACAAAGGATATATTAGATCCTGTAATTAGAGAGGTACAGAAAAAAATACACAGAGTGAGGAACAAAGTTTCATATCGAATTTTGGAGACATATCGGAGGAATCAGAGATTTAAGGCTATGCCTCATCTAAAAGTCTTGCAAAATATTTTAAAAGTAAAAATGAGCTAGTAATAAAAGAAAATGAAACATTACCAATTATCACAAATAAGCAGAATCCGGAGTCATTGATTCAAGATATTACAATAGAAGAGGCAATATGCACTGGCGAGGCTTTAGTTAATGATAAGTATCAAATTCCTCCTATTATTAAAATTGTCATTATTACAATAATAGTGATATTAATTATTTGGTATATATACAGTAATATTTTTCATCAAACCCCACCTTCTCGTTCTTTGAACTCGAAGCCAGATTATACTCATTATATGACTGCCTCTGGCAATTTGTTTTCTGGAATATATAAACCAACTATGAACGAACAAAGTGAAGTGAATTATCAGGGAAAAGAAATTTTTTATCCAATTTATAAAAATCATAGTTATGGATTTCCAATCCATTATATAAAAAAACCGAAAGAAAGAACTTCCACCTATGAAACTATTCCTTATAGATATAGACGAAGCTAATAAACATGTTGCATCTCATTGTCAATCTCATCCAGCTAGTCCAACATAGCCCTTTAGAATGATAGTTACAGGAAAAAGTGGATCAGGTAAGACTAATATCTTAACAAATCTTTTTCTCGGTAATAAAGCTGAATACATATATAAAGGAAAAAAAGGTGGTAGGAGATATATTTCTTGTGATAATTTAATAGTTTGTGGTTATCATTCTGATAAGCCAAAATGGACATTCGTTAGATATATATATGGCATAATTTCAAAAGACCCGAAAGCACCTTACTATGAAAATATACGATTTACTATATATCACCAGACAAAATCCCTAGTGTAAAAGCATTTTCACCTAAACTAAGTACAACAATTGTTTTTGAGGATTTGTGTCTCGCTTCAGAACATATACAGAATCGAATTGGCCAATTTTTTGGAAATGGGTGACATCGAAATATTTCATGTATATTTGTGGCACAGAAATATCATAAAATCACTACATTCATGCGTGAAAATGCAAATTACTTAGTACTTTTTAATTCTAGTAGCTCATATGAAGATGTCTCTAAAATTATTTGTCGATATACAGATGATGTAAAAAATGCATCAATGGTTATTAACAGTTACTTACGCAAAGGTGAATTTATTGTGTTTGATTTAGATAGG